AAAATGTCCTTTGTTGGAGGCTCCTTATCTGTGGAAGGGTCCCCATTCCTCTCACCGCAGGTCGATGCAGGGCTCCATGCCAGCTCTGCTCTCAGTTCAGTGCACCGATTCCTGCTCTCAGAGCTTTCACATCTCTATCCCTGCTGTGCCAATTCAAATGCAGCAGTGGTGGCAGGGAATTCAAGCTACTGTTTCCAGAGGTGCGGGTTCCTGCTTAGGCACCGAGATTTTAACTGCTCCTGTCATAGCACTGGGATTGCATTTCCAGTTGGTTTCCTCAGCTTGGTTCCTTCCTGGGTCGGCAGGATATATCTTCCCCTGCTTAGGACTCCCCACACTGCACCATTCCTGGAATCTAAGCTGGCTGTCTCAGAGAGCCACTGTAGCTGCTGTTATCTATCTGCCATGTTCTCTAATACTGTCTAAGCTTGCATTCTGTGTTTTGATTGCTTTTATACTGTTTTGATGTGTATTAAATTATTGTATGTGAAGATATGAATAACTATTTGAAGAAAGCAAGAGATACTATGGTAGTCATAGTAGTATGGTATGGTGTGGTATGGTATGGTATCGTATGGTATGGTATGGTATAACACCACAATGTTGATTTCCTGCTGTCTTTTTTGGAAAGTCTGCATTATATGCATTGTTTTATGCTCATCTACTTTATTCCATCTTGCTTTGGTGTGCTATGTTTTGTTTTATGATCTTTAAAATGAAAAAACATGAAGAGTAGGGGATCTGAAAGGGGTAAGAAGTAGGGAAAAAGAGGAATCAAGATATGTTATGCACAGGGACAAATTCCATATGATAAATTTCATTATATATATCTAAGTTGTATTTAAACTTTATGGAAAATGAAAATGATTTGAATGACTGAAGAGGTTATTTGACTCTTTGAAGTGTTTCCCAAAAGCATAGATCTCATGAATCAAAGCCTCTATGAAGATGATGCCATACTTAACAAGACTGAGTGATCAATGAGTTAACTGTAAAGGTATTTGCATCTTAATGATTTTTCCATAGCAACACTTGTACATTAGTCGTTCACTGACTGAATATTTGAATATCCCCAGGCAACTTTCTTTTCTGCTACATTCAGCAGGTGAATTGAAACCTTGTTGAGCTTAACAAGGGCACCATTACGATTCTGTGAAGGCAAAGAAGTTGCAACATCTTGTGGACTTTGTGTTCACATCTTTGGTATCAGTGGTACTCCTGGTCTGGATGACAAATACCAATTGTCAATGGCAATGGGAGATGTATGAGGTAATGTTTGTACCAATTATGCTTATCTGACCTGAACATTTTGAATATGTGTATTGAAATGTATCACTGTACTCCATTTATATGTATGAAAGAACTATTAGTTAAAATAAACATATGAAATTAACTTTTTAGAAAAAAGTAACATAGGACTTCAAAAGAAAAAGTTATCATACATGAAGTATTCAGGGATATATGATCCTAAGGGATAGATCCACATATCTTAATTTTCGAAGTACCTATTTTTTGATGTTCAGGCAATATCCTGTCAATGAATTGTTTTGAAAACTATAGAATAGCATATTTTGTGGTGGTTTAATCTCTAAATTGTGTCAAGCAATTTTTAAGTGAAAAATTGCTTCCACATCAAAGTGAGTAAATCACCAATATGATGGATCCCTGTATTGAGTTACATGGTGCTTGTGTTGATAAAAGAAATGTACATAAAGCACACTGTGAGTGCAGGAGGCAAGCTTATCTCCAGTGGGAAAGCATCTGCATGTATTCACTAGGGTCAGGCTACATGTTTAGGCTGATGCTGGGGATGTGGAAATTTTCATCTGCTGTGTGAAACTTTCAACAGCTTTCTCGATCCTGAAGTTTACTTTTTGATTCCTCAACACTTGGGAAAATATATGTCCTCAAACCAAGACTTGGAACTCTTATTTTGTCACACTGATACATTCATTAGTGTTACTTTCTTCCAATTACTTTGGATTTTAATTTGTTAAATGTATCTTTGCTTGCATCATTTTTCCAAAATGAAAGAAATCTTTCAGTACCTAAGCACAAGTAAGATATTGCTAAATTTTTGATACCACAGCAGAATAACAAATCGCTTTCTGTTTTTAAGTAAAATTCATTCAAATATATATTCTGTGTTATTATGTTTGATGTATCTGTTGAGATGATTATATATTTTTTCAGGTTATAATGTAAACTCACTTGCAGATTTGGATATTGTCTTCCTCTGTTGCCTTGATCGTCCATTGTTTTGGTTCATTGTTACAAATATTTTGGGCAAATAATTCTCTTTTTTGATATGCAAAGAGATAGTCTTTTTTAATTTAAAGAGAAAAAGCAATACAAACTATGATATGAAGTTTCAAGACAAGTGAACAGAATATTAGCAATGGTTAACATATTGCATATTTTTACCTTCAAAATACTTGCTCAGATTTCATGAAATCAGCATACATAATAGATCAAACAGTATAAACAGTTTTAATAAATTAAAATAAATCATTAGAATAACTCTCTTAGCTTTTTGGTATTTCTATATATTCTTTCTTTCCTCTTTCATCTTTCTTCTTTCACTAACCCCAGTAGTTATTTACTTTTGATCAGTTTCTTTCCCTGTCACAATATCTATCACAGATTTTGGATTTTATTTATTTTGTCATTTTCTTACTCTATGGAAACTATGATGTTTACACATGCCACTTTGATTTCTTTAGCTTATGAGTACACTCACTAGTGCATTCATTTGCCAATAAAAACCTGGGGTTTATCCTTCTTTATGACAGAGTAAAAATCTATTATATTAAAATATAACGTCTTTAGAATCCATTCCTCTATTTATAGGCATTTGGCTTATTTTCTAGATTTAGCTATTACAAACTGTGCTGCTATGAACACGGAAGTGCATATATCACTGTGTACAGAGTTTTTACTTCTTCCAAGTTGATATCCAGAAGAAAAACAGAAAATAGCTGGGTAAATGTTACCTGTAATCCAATTTATTGGAGAACTCTTTATACCAGTTTGCTAGTGGTTGCAGCAGTGTGTACTCCTATCAACAGTGGAGAAGCTTCTTTTTTCTCAGCAGATTCTCCAGTATTTGTTTCTTGACTTCTTGATGATAGCCATTCTTTCTGGAGTGACATGGAATCTCAGAATTATCTTAATTTGCATCTCTCAAATAATCAGTGATGTTGAATTATTTTCATATATATATTTGTCATTTATCTTTCTTTCTCTCAGAACTGTCTATTGATTTCAGACACTCCTTTTTGAATTTTGAGTCTTTAAACTTGGGGGGTGGTGGCTGTTTTTCAAATTGTTTATACATATTATATATTAGTCTGCTGTCAGAGGGGCAATTGGCCAAATTTTTTTCCACTCTGTGTGCATCTTCCAATCTGGTCTGATCCTCAGGTTTATTTTGCTACCAGTAACACAATGTTTTCCTAGTATAATTTCCAATCAGGGATTCTCAAATTTGGTGCTAATGATTTTCTGGATTTCTGCAGTATCCATTGGAGATTTCACATTGTGCATTCCTAATTGTATGAATTTGAATCTTTTCTTTCTTGTTTTTGATAAAATTGTTGAAGGTTTTATCAATTTTCTGTCTTTCAAAACCAACTGTTCTATTTATTAATTGTTTATATATATTTTTTAGTCTCAACTGCATCAATTTCTGCTCTAATCTTTATCATTACCTCTGTCACACAAACTTTGCATTTGATTTGTTCTTCTTTTTCTAAGACATTGAGGTTTAATATTAGGAGGCTTTTTTCAATTCAGTTTCTCAGATTTGAGAATTCACTATTATAAATTTATCTCTTAGGACAGCTCTCTTTGCATCCCATAAGTTGCTGTCTGTTTTATGAGCCTTATCATTTAATTATATATAGTGTTTTAGTTTCATTAATTTCATGTATGACTAATTACTTTTTCAGGAGTGTGTTATTATTTTTCTAGGTGTTATTGCATCATTTGTGGTTTCTTTTACAGATGCTTTCCAATTTTATCACAGTATAGTCCATAATATGCAAGGGGAAATTTCAATTTTTGCATTTGCTCAAACATATCATATGGGGTAATATGTGGTATGTTTAAGAGAATTTTACATGTGCAGCTGAGGAAAATGTGTATTCTGATGTTTGGTGTGGAACACTCAGTATATATCTACTATATCCATTTGTTCATAGGTTTGCTTTAGTTTTGATATTTCTTTGTGGATTTTTATCTGTGTATTGTTAGTTACACTAGTTGTAGTTGATAGTTGATCTGTGTATTGTGACAGGGGTTGTAAAAGTCCCCCAACACAATGGTGTTAGTATTTATTTGATTTTCCATGTCCACAATATTTGTTTAATGTAATTGTGTACACTGGTATTTGGTGCATATTTATGATTTTTATGTCTTTTTGGAGTTTTCCTTTAGCATGTATGTAGTGAACTTGATTGTCTCCTTTGATCCATCTGATATGAAGTTCACACTGTATGCAAATAAGTTAACCCTGGTTGTTTTTTTTTTTTTTTTTTACTTTCCTGTCCCATACTTTCAGACTCTGAATATCTTTCTGAGGCAACTTTGTTTTCTGTATGCTGCATTTTGTTGCATCATGCTTCTGGGTCTATCCTGAAAATATGATTCTTTTGATGAGTAGTAAATTGAGAACTTTTACATTGATGATTATAATTTGTATGCATTGGCTTGTCCTCATCCTAATAACTTTCCTACCATTGATTCAGTATCTTTCCCTTCTTTAATTGCTTGCCTTGTCTGGTGGCTTCTTACTATTGGTGTTCCATGAACTGTGGTCCTCCTCACCTCTTTGAAAAATATCTCATTACATTTTTGAGAGCTGGTTTGTTGTCATGCATTTGTTCTTTGTCATGAAATATATTGTTTCTCCAGTGACTTAGAAAGATAATTTTGGGGAGTAAATCAATCTTGGTTTTAGCTTATTTTCCTTTAGAGTACTTTAAAATCTCTTAGACTTGAAAAATATGGAACATTTGATGAATTTGCCTGTCATTGTTGTGCACTGGCTATGGTAACCTTCTCTGTGTAGTTTCAATTTTATATCTATGCTTCTAAATGGAATATTACATCTCCGTCTTTATTTCTGATTTTTATTAACTTTACTTCTAACTCTTGTTTTTCTTGCTAAAGAGTTTTATCTGTCTCATTTTTCCTATATTTTTTAGTGTTTTAAATTCATTTTTTAGATCATGTTGCATTTCTTATATGGATTTATACAGGTACAGAGCACAACTTAATCCCAGTTATGTTCTCTAACTTTATTCCTCTAAAATGTTTTTTTTTGTGTGTGCTAGGGATCAAAATAATGAGCTTGCACTTGCTATGGAGATGTTTACACTGCTGAGCTAAATCCTAGTCTCCACTTAATATTTTAAATGCTTTTGTGCTTGAGAAATAGCTGTCTATCTTCTTCAATTATCTTTATTTTATTTTTCTTTTTTTATACTCTGAGCTTCTCATGTAAGATAAACCAAGCAGTATATAAGCATGTATTTTTCTTATATCACTTAACATTATGGTCTCAAGGTGCACTAATGTGGTTTTTCTGTTTGTTTTTTCTTATTTTTTAAATTATTTTTATTTTAAAGAGAGTAAAACAACAGAAAACAAAACAGCAGAACAAAATAAATCAGAACAGAACAATGCAAGCAATATAGCACTTCACAACAAGACAATAGGACATCAACAGTGGCTAACAAAATGTCTCTTGTTTCCTTCAAAATAGTTGACCATACCTTCACCCACATTAATAGCAAGCTTACCAAAATAGTATAAAACCAGTCAAAAGAATGAAAACATTACAGGACTTTAAAACGAAATAACAGGAAATGAACAATTGCTACTATAATATCTTATTTTCCTCCAAAAAGTTGTCCATACCATCACACATAACTAAAATAAAATAAAACACAACATAGAACAGATATAAACAGAAGAACAAAAGCATAATAGAACTTCAAAGCAAGATAATAGGAAATCAGCAATGGCTACCATAATATCTTGTTTTCTTCAACACAGCTGTTCATACCATCACACATAATAAAATCAAACAAAATGAAATAAAACCAATTAAACAATGAGTGAAAGCATAAGACTTAAAATGTAATATAATAGGAAACTGAGATTACCATAATAGACCTCATTATATTCAGAATAGCATTCAGAATAGCTGCCCCTACCTTCTGACAGAGTAGAATCTAACAAAACAAGACATAACAAAGGCAAACCTAACAAAATTGTGGAAACAATATAGGAGTTCAAGATGAGACAATAAGAAATTAACATTAGTTACCTTCTTTCCCTTCCAGGTGTTTCCTTCACATCACTCTAACAATAACGATTTTGCTTTTTGATCCCACTCTTCGTTTCTTATTCTAGTGTTCACGTATATAAGTTCGAACTGTTTCACTCACTAACATGATCTCCAGTTGGGTTCTATAGGACCCTTACCTACAGGAGCCTTGAGATTATTCTACTTTATAGCTGGGTAGCTTTTCACTGCATGAAAATACCATATCTTTCTTATTCATTTGGTGGTTGATAGGCAAGTTACTCTTGCTTTTCTTTTTTTTTTCTGGGCTCCTGTCCCTTGAAAAAACGGTTTTTTCTCCTTTCATTTTCACTCTATGAATTTCCTTTCCAGTTAAATATGTTTCTTCCATACAGTATATTTGCATCTTGATAGAATTTCCCTGTGTTACTTTTTAGGACCTGAGGCCATCTACATTAATAGTTACAATCTGCACACATTGGTACGTCTCTGACATACTATTCTCCTGTTCTTGGTCCTCCATTTTTCCCCTTCCTTCAATTGCTTGTCTTGTTTGGTGATCCTGCTCTGCTGTTGTTCCTGGAACCATGCTAACCTTTATATCTCTCTAGAATACCCTTCAGCACTCTCTGTAGGGATGGTTTGGTTAATAAAAAGAGGTCAGTATATGTAGTGTACACCTTGACATAACCACAGCAGTTGTGGCTATAAAAACAATTTTGCCTGCCAGGTAATCCTGGCACATTCAAAACCTTTCTGGAAAAGCAAAGTCATTAGAGGTCAAAGATTTCTAGTTCTTCAAATGTCTAGATTATGTATTTGTTGGCTGATATTTTGTTTCCTGTTAATTATCTAGCAAGCCCACATACATTCATGGGATACCAGGTGTGGTGAGGGTCTGCTGCCTATTCTTGTGAGATTAACACTTTTATCCCTTACTTTGTTTCCAGGTGCAAGGATCTTCCTGTCTTGCTACACAGTCACCCTCCTACCTTCACGTTTCTAAAAGGTCGTGCTCTGTTCATTCTTCACTTGCTGGTCAGATGCAACAGGCAGTGCTTTCCAAAACGAATGGTGAAAGAGCTCTGTTTCCTGATGACACACATGGGGAAAAATGAACAAATAATCCTGACTACAGGAAGATGATGCAAAACCATCTCTCAGCTGAGCAACCACAAATGTCAATCTGAAAGAGCTGAATCACAAGAAAAAAAAGAAACTGCTTTAGAAACTGAAAAAGATGCATCTTTCATATAGGCACCATAAAATCAAAGAATTTTACTGCTAATACCAAATTACAAATTCTCTACAAGGAACAAATGACATTGTGAAGGAATCACACAGTTACATCACCTTGTTAAAGAAATAATTTCTTTCTGTCTCTCACTCTCCCTCTCTTTATATATATAATATGTCACGAAGTAACATGAATATATATATTATACAGTGTGTTTGGAAGTGAAAGTATAAAATTATGCTGAATCACAAAAAATATCGTATAATTAGTTTAGAATATTTTCCTGACTTTTTTCACTATAAAGGAATCATGTAGAATTCCTTTATACATGGAAGATGTATTCCATGGATGGAAGATGATATTTCATGTAGAAGAAATACCTATTCAATGGAAGGATGATACAAAAGAAAATTAATTCAAAATCCAATAAGGAGATGAAATACTGACCTTAGAAATTTCAGTGTCAACCTTATTAGAATTTGTATTATTGACATTCTAAATGTATTTAAAAATCTAGTCAATCTTTTTCTGCTAAAAGCATAATGTAATGCTCAGAAAAAATGTGGGTCAACTTTATTTTTTTTTATTTAAAGAAAAGGAAACAAAAAATACATGGAGATAAAAAAAGGGTAGAAATAATACAAAATTACAGAAAAATAAACGGTAAGAAATCACTGGTTGAAAAGTTACATATTGTCATCTTAGAAATAGCCGTTCAGGTTACAAAATTAAAGTATTTAGAATGACATTCAAAAAGTGACACTACAAACAGTTCTGCTCATTGATCGAACAAAAATTCAGTAATATGGTTATCAGTCCTACACACTTGTTTTACATCTCAAAGAGGGTAAGATTGAACATATCAAAATAGAACAAAACAATTAAAAAAACAATTTAAAGAAATACAGATTTCAAAGCAAGTCCACTGGAGATCTTCATTGTCTATCTGTCTCTGGTTTCTTACAAATAATTGTCCCCATCTTCACCCACTTTATATACTTATTGCATTATTATAGAACTAATCAAATCATTACAGGATGATGAAGGCTTTTTAGGACTTCAAGATCCAACATTAGGGAAGACAATAATAACTACCATCGCATCTCTCATTCTCTTCGTGGTAGCCGTCCCCATCTCTACATATGCTGAAATTGAACTCAAGAAACCAGTCCAATGTCATTCTAATTAGTGAACAATAGTATTGCTAGAATTTATATCATAATGCTACAAAATTAGCATTGGGTTTCTTAGCATCTCTTCTTCAGAGTATCTGTGCTATATATTCTGTTCCCATAAATAATTTTTTAAAAAAACCTCATATGTAAATTTCTACATATATACCTATCCTCTCTGTATTATAGGGAAAACCAAGTCGTAACAAGACAGCAAAACAAATTCCTAGAAAAACATGCAATGGATAAGACATACAAGACCACAATATAGATGATCTTCCATAGTTACTATGTTTTCTCTTGTTATTTTCAATAGATTTGTCCACAACACCAGCTTAATATAGTTAAACATAGTACTACCTATTTTTATAAAAACACAACTTTAAAAGCATTGTAGGATTTGAGAGCTGTTAATAGTTAATACCAGTATGGATATCCTTTATATCTTGCCATCTTCAGTGTAGTTGCCTCTAATTTTAGGGTTGATACTAACAAGCATACTAAATTCAAATAAAATCAGCCAAGGCCAACCCATGGTCTTATGATTCAGATTCAATTAAGATCAGTCATAGAAAGACAATGTAAGTAATACAGGATTTCAGTTAAGTTAATAGGAAAGTAAGGATAGTTACCATGGTATAACCTGCTATTTTTGGGTCAGATATCTGTGCCCTCAAATCTGACATGAGTGGACAGACCAGAAAAAATTAAATTCAAACTAAATATGGCAACAAGACTACTGTGTCTTTTAAATCCTGATACACTATTAACAATGACCTCTGCCTTTTTAAATAGTGTTTCAGAGCTGTCTATACTAAGGACTGTAGCTTACCATCTCTGCCTCATGTCTGCTACTCCACTTTTCTGCTATAATTTTCCACCTTATTCCCTGCCCCGTTCATTGAGGCCTCTCTGCCACTGTTGCTGGAATCCTGGTATCCCTTCCTCTCTTTCTCTGGAATGTCCTTCAGTGGTCTCTGTAGGGTTGGATTGGTGGCCATGAACTCCCACAGTTCCTCCTTGTCTTGGAAGCATCTTATTTCTCCATTAATTTTGAGAGAGAGTTTTGACGGGTATAAGAGCCTTGGTTGCATATTATTTTCTTTCAAGACTTGGAATATTTCTCCCCATTCCCTTCTTGACTTAAGAGTTTGTGTTGATAAGTCTGTTGTTATTTTGATAATTTTCCCATTGTAGGTAATCTGCTTCTTTTCTCTGGCTGCTTTTAATATTCTGTTCTTTTGGTGGATTTCTGGAATTTTGATTATTATATGTCTAGGCATAGATCTGTTTTGGTTGTAGGTAGCTGGTGTTCTGTATGCCTCTTTTATCTGGATATCATTTCTTTTAGCTATACATGGGGAATTTTGCTTTAATATATCTG